GACTGTTTGTACTAATAAGCTTAAATTTATTTTGAAGTGGTAGCCTCACAGATCTGTCTGCTTCAAGTCTTTACTTTCATGTCTGCTTTCTGGATTTTCTGTCTTGAATGAAGATTAAAACTGTCATTGAACAGTCCTCTTGGTAAGATCTCCATTCTTGATCTGCATATTACTTTGAGATGAACAATCCAAATCCAAGAATTTTATTTTGGCTGAAACTTAAAAATTCTTTAAGAAACAGAAAATCCTTCTCGTTTGAGTAGTGAGGAACAAATTATTCTTTTACGGTAGAGCTCGGTGATTTTGCAGTGCAGATTAAATAATGAAGTGTCCATCATAATAAGACCTGGGTCAGCAAGCTAGAAGTGTAAACAGTACGGAGAACACCAACTCAAACAAGTGTCAGCTGTACAGACTTGAAAAGCACAAAGCTTAACTTTGTCAACAGCAATCTAGTGGCAATGTGGCTGATAGATGAGAAGATGATGATGATACGCAATATCTAGAAAGGACGCAGGTTGCATGTGGTTAATTGCTTACAGCAGACAGATGGTATATGTAAGGACATGACTAAATAAGGTTCCTGAGCCTAGACTAACCACATACCTGGTCTGGCATGCGTTAGCCATGAAAGGGTATTAGACAACAAAGAGGTGAGAAATGTTCACATACAGCTTTTGAAGTTACGGGGCTTATGCACGAACTCAGCGTGTAACTTTAGTAATGATTAGTGCTAAAGTCTATGCTTGATGCTTGCATGAAGTAATCATTAAAGAAACGCGTGGGGACAATAATAACCAAACAAGATCTGTGTTCTTCAGCTCTTAATGCTAGATTATTTGAACTTGTCTGGGCATTCTCTGATCGCCGATTGATCCCGCGTTACGCTTGTGAGGGTCCGCTCAAGAAATCTACCTAGAAGTTAAGCACCGAGTTGAGCTTTGGGATTTGGGAAGTGTGAAGAAGTCTGGTCCGTGAAAGAGATGGGATGAGAAACAAACTCTGGAGAGGGCAACAACTGAGCAGCTGCTCTCAGACCCCATTAGTAGGTTGGATTGTCTGCAAGTGTAATAGGGGTCATTGAGGGAGGCTGACCCGAACGATGAATTGATGCCTTCCAGTCCTCGGTTCCAAGTAATCCACATTGTGCTATTTCCTGTCTGGAAATTCTAAAAGGAGTACTTTTCTACAGAAATTCCTATAGAAAACTTGGGCTTTGAATAGTACGGTTTCTGAAACAAGCCCTTTGTCTTCCACGTACGAGTAAAGCTAGTGTCCTCAACCCAGTGTGTTTGTCTCTCACATACGCACACACAAACAAGCACAAGCTGATGCAGAAATAATACGGCTTTTGTACTCATTGCGTATTCGATAGCTGTGTATTTCATTTTTTCAAATGAAAATTCTGTCAGTAGTGAGTTGATCTGTTGTCTCTTTAGAATAGCTGTATATGACAGTTTGAGATTGAGGGTTTACACTCCAGAGTTTAAGGAAAGCTTCTCTAGGAATCGGAAGTGGAGGGCACTTGATGTTACAGTAGACTATTTTAGAACTGTTCTGAGGGGGATGTTGCCCCTGAGCCCCCTTTAAAGGATAAATAGATAAATAGATAGGTTCCACCACATCTGAGCAAATTACTGCTCGAAGGTCTACTCTGATCTTTTGTTCCTGGATCATGCTTTGGAGCCTTCAGTGTTAAGCCCAATATGATCGTGGTGATCCAAGATGTTCCAGTCTCCCAGATGCTCCTTGTTATCCGTCCCCCTGGAGAGCACCATTCTGTATCGTACGCTGCAAAAGGGAATGTGTGCCCATACCTTCTTCATCAATTTAAGCTGACACATCCAGCTGGCTAAAGTAGTACATAAGAGACCAGAGCATCACCCCAAAAAATCTTCTTCAAATTTGGTGGATTAATTTTAAGTGCATGTACACTGAGAGATATTTGGTGCCTGTTGATGGAAGGGGAGTGGTTAAGAAAACTTGATTTCAGAGGTCCCATGAGGTGCGTATTCTAAGGCTACATTTTTTTGGATTAGCTATTACAGCCATGGCTTGAGCTGCCTAAAATAAACCACCACTGATCCAGGAGCCATGTAGCTGTGTCGGCTCAGTGTTGAATCTGTGTTAATATACTTTGCCTTTTTGAACACAACCTGTTCAGACATCATCTGCCCGGTGGTACGATTTCAACGGGTGACTGTTACAAAAAAAGGTTTAAAAATTATCTGCTTCACAAACCATGCAATCTCCAGTAACCATGGCTTTTCCCAAGGTGACATTGTATGAAAATCAGGTGATTGTAATACACAAAACCCCATTTCCTGATCTTCTTCCTCCTTGCTAATTATTTCTTTAGTTAGTGTGCTGCCCTAGAAAAAAAGTCTGAAATTGCTTCCTGTTTGGTTTCTAAAATGTTGACAGTCCTCAATGCTTTGTATCATGAATTCCAGGCACAAAGAAATGCTCTTAATAGTTATCATGATTAATGGGTAAAGTTAACAATTAATTATTAATGGATGTTAGTTTGACATCCCTGTGAGTCATAATGTCCTATCCTCATTTTGTATGTGGGAAACTAAAATTAGACTAGCTCTACTGAAGGACCTAGAAACATCAAGAATTAGGTGCACCACTATCTAATTTCAGTCTCTTCCTGGAATCCAGATTTTGGGATTAGGCGTGTCAGTTTTCTCTCCAGCAGGTGGTGCCCCGGGGCAGGATCCAAGGCATCCGGACGGCTGATGAGCGCTGCCAAAGTGAGTGACCACAAAATGTTTTACCCAAGTGCAGCATTCCTCTCCACCTTCGCTTCTGAAGCTTTGTACAGCACAGCGTCAGGCTTGTGGGACTGGAAAGAGGGAGCAAGAGAAAATGTGACTTTGTATCTTATGGATTTGAGAGGAGATGGGGTTCTCCTCCCTATTCCCAGTGTTTTGTGTGTTTTCCACACTTCGTACAAAATATTATGCTGATTTCCACCCCCCCATCCCCTCCCTGTTCAATATGAAACACCAAGGCAGTCTCAGGAACATGAAGCTGATGCAACTGTGTCCCTACAGGGGCTACAGGGCCATTCTCTTATCTTCCCACCAACTTCCCCTGTGGCTCTGGTGTTCTCTGCTGTGCAGTAACGCAACCTCGACAGGCTGAAGAACAAACACACATGCATCCAGTCTTGGTGAGGGGCGTAAGTGCTTTACACAAAAGGGAGGTTCGTGTAGGTTTCTGCCTTCATGAGGTTATCTTCTAAGATTGGTCTTGCTTCTGCCGTGGCTGGTTTGAACAAAGTAGGCATCACAGCCACTTTTGGGGAGTAAATGCATGAATGTGTGCTGTAAACTCCCACTCACCCAGAGACTTTGGCATTGGGACGCAGAGTCCAGAACCAGACTTTGGGACATAAGTGTCCTGGTTTTGGCTGGGATAGAGTTAATTTCTTCCCAGTAGCTGGTACAGTGCGGTGTTTTGGATTTAGGATGAGAACAACATTGATAACACACCGATGTTTCAGTTGTTGCTAGGTAATGCTTACACTAGTCAAGGACTTTTCAGCTTCCCATACTCTGCTGACTGAGAAGGCTGGAGGTGCACAAGAAGCTGGGAGGGGGCACAGCCAGGACAGCTGACCCAAACTGGCCAAAGGGACATTCCATACCATGTGACGTCATGCTCAGTACATAAACTGGAGAAAACTGGCCGGGGGGGGCCGCTGCTCGGGGACTGGCTGGGCATCGGTTGGCGGGTGGTGAGCAACTGCGTTGTGCATCACTAGCTTTGTATATTATTCTTCTTATTATTACTATTATTATGATGATTTTATTCTATTTCAATTATTAAACTGTTTTTATCTCAACCCACGAGTTTTCTCACTTTTACTCTTCCGATTCTCTTCTCTATCCCACTGGGGAGGGGGAGAGTGAGTGAGCGGCTGCGTGGTGCTCAGTTGCTGGCTGAGGTTAAACTACGACGGTAAGGACCAAGCTCCTCCGGCTGAGCCACTTTGGACTCAAACAGGAGCGGAAGTACATCTCAGCCAAGCACCTGGAACACAGCTCTGGAGCATGACAGTGTTTTGATTCATGCTTTATGAACATAAACCCTCTCCTGGCTCGAACTTAGAATGACTTGCTCTGGGTGGTAGATCTGTCTTTAAGCTGGGACGTGAACTAAGGTCGCATAAGATCCAGTCCAGTGACCTCTTTGCTAGAACACCTTTCCTACAGTAAAATTCAAAGTCTCATTTTAGAGAACAGAAGGAAAATACTTTTTTCCTCCCTCATAA